CTAAACCATAAACGTAAAACCTAACAACGAAAACATAAACCAATAACCCCTAAAAGCTACATTCCAACAAAGTATTAATACGTACACTCATGAACCTTAAATTGTTGAATATCCCTTCCATTAAAATGTTAGCCGTTAGTCTTATATAAATAGCCGTACTTAATACAAATAGGTTGTCTACAAAAATAGTTAACCTGTCAACTGGTAATTTAGCAATCAAGTAATTTACCAAAATAGTTAACCTGTCAACCCTAAACACTAAACCTTAAGCCCTAAACCTTAAATCCTTAACCTATACCTTAAATAGTAAACCCTAAACCATAAATCCTAATCCTTAGACCCTAAACCCTAAACCATAAACCCTAAACAATAAACCATTAAAAATAGACACTGAACACTAAAAACCCTAAAAACTAAACCCAAGACCATTGGAAACATAGCTACCTAGTGGACTAGATAATTGTTTTATTCATTGTTCCTTATAGTAGTTTTTTTCAATATCCAGCTAACTTTACATTGGCTGGTTAAACGTTTACATAGCATATTTAGCTAACTTTACAGAGAGCAAAGATGTAGATTAAAAAAAGCAAACTAAGATGATTCATCGTCCGAACAAAGGTCCCCAAATGGATTGTGCCCCACCGCAGTCAGAGCTTCCTGGATAAAGAGGCGACTACTTCGACGATCTCTGTGATGTCTTTCTTCAGATCCAACAGTTGATCCTTTATCTCGGTGAGGTTATTGGCCATTTCCGCCTGCTTCGCCGCCAAAGACTCGATCTCCTCAACGTGTGCCTCATCAGCCCACTTGAAAAGATGATTTTCACCAAAAACGACACTGCATCTATAGAATCTTCTTCCAGGGTTTTCTTTGGTTTTGGAAGTGAGTACAACGGACAAGGCCCCGCAAGGACACCTACGAGGGATGCCGGGCCCAATTTCCATAGCCATCTCGAAAACCTAGCATAAGAACAGCTCAAGATTGAAACAGCTAATACATAGATATGTTTATAAATATATAGTGGATTGAATGCAATATACGTGAGACGGAGCTTTATTCTCTCAAAACAGAGACTCTCCACACACAGCTATCGGACCAGAGAACAAAAACGGCCACAAGAATTGTGCTTGGTTAATGGAGTTCAGTTATATACCGAGAGTAGCCCTAATTGTACAGTAAAATTTGTTCCCAAAACGACACGGTTTGTTTTCATGAGAATTAAACGAACTTGTTCTCATTTGGACGATCACCATATGCAATATCTATATAAAAATAATTTTGGATGGTTACCGTGAGAGCTAAGAAATTTTAAAACTTGTTAAAATTTGGATGGTTACCGTGAGAGCTAACTATAATATCTTGCTAGTAATCAATTTGTATGGTTACACTGACAATTAATAACTAATTTGCTCAATGTAAAAGGCAACCCCAATACAAGTCCAATAACAGAAACAAATTGGTAGCATAAATTCTGAAACAAATTGGTAGCAGAAATTCAGTTACAGCACAACATAAAGTACACGTTAACCAGCAACACATCAATTTTGATTAAAATTCTTCAAAGGGGACCGACTGAAGCTTCATATAGCGAGACCACAATCCTCTCCACTTGACTGTCCAGAACATCTGGGGTAATGCATTTGCACGCATCAACTCCACCGACGGCGTGGGCTTGGATAAACAGCACCGTGGACACCGAAGAGCTCATAACAGCATTTTGCTGAGGAATGGACCGGGGCCTATCGATAGCCATTGGTTTGCACTCTCTTGCTCCAACCTGTCTTCCAGCCTGTTTCAGAAGATATGGAAACATCAAAGCTATTGGTCTTACTTCTTTGTTCATCATGTAGTCTGTGCGAAGGCCATTGTTGCAGTCCAGGACCATGACACTCCAACTGCTGCAATCAACACATATGCCAACCCAATACTTTTTGTCCAGATAAAAGGGGAAATAGAAACGGCTAGATTCAGAGTGAGATGGGGGAATGTGAAGAAATTGGACAACATTTGGACTGAAGGTAAAGGTTTCTTTTTTGGTGACCTTTGCGAACTTTGTGTACAACTTCATGAACTGGGACACGAACTGTGTGTCCAAAAACAAGCAACTGGGATTCTCGGTCTGCGTCGATCTAACCTTGAACAAAGTACTGGTATGCATCATTAGAACATCCATAACCTGTTGAAAACATGCACAACCAACACAGTTCAATGATACGAAAACCAATAAAAATATCACGTTTATATTGAACAGAATGGCTGTCATCAAACAGACCTTGGTAGGTATTTGGCTTGACCTCAGTATGACCTCATAGAGGTCTTTGCTGGCAATATCGCCTCTTTCAGTTGGTATAGAGCTAACCAGGTTTATGATAATAATCAAGTTAGCCGGCTAATATTATAGAACAAAGATAACTTTTAAAACTGCTCTTCAAATCATGAATGTTAGCTTACAAGTTCGTCTTCATTTTGTCAAGTAGAGAAGCAAACTTTGCAGCGTAATCAATGTCACCTCCTTTGTAAATGGCATCGGCTAGAGCCTGTCTTGCACGGTTAAGAAACGCCTTATCACATTGGTATTCACCCATCAGCGACTTCGTAGGAACCCTCTGCCTCTTGCTTTTCCTACACCCATTTCCACCTTCCTCAATGGTTGTTTCGAGAAGTTCTTCATCGCCGGTTCCCTGTTCTGGTATGGCAGAGTCTGCAGCCTTTTTTGCAACCTCTGCAGCGGCCTCTTGAGTTAAGCCTAGCGAGAAGGTTGGGTTGGGGAATAACAACCCCGGATCAAGATTCTGCACAGAGATAACAAACTGATAAATTAGTAAGAGATAGTACATAATAACAGAGAAAATTTTAGAACTGAATGTTCCCAGAGAGAGTCTTAATTTACTAACATACCATCACTTCGGAGGTCTTTGTATGAACAGTGCAGGAGCCATCTGGCTGATTTTCAGACAGGATAGAGTCAGTGTTATTCACGCCGGCACCAGATAGACCATCGTCGCCGATGATCCCGCCCTAGTAATGATTAAAAGTAAGCAACTTCAACTTAATTTGTAGCCGGCCATATATAAAATAAGAAATCTAACAACAAACTTACATGTGCAGTGGGTTCTGTTGTCTGGTTAGCAAATTTAATAGCCTCAGAGATAATGGTTGATGTATACGGAATTGTTTGGGCAGAGGCGTCAGCAACATTGGGCCGGTTGTTAGATCTCTCCACAGGACCTTGAGGAATCAATGAAGCCAGGTTTTGGATATCTCCAGTAAGGGACGAGATTTTCGCAACACTATCCTCAACCATCTCAAACAACCCACTGAAATTTGTGAGGACCGTGTTCGTGAAGCCAGTAACTGATTCCTGAATCCCTGCTATACTACGATGAAGAAGCTGGAGCTCCTCCTGCATCTTTTCTCTCATAATACAGGCCAACAAATCGACATCTACGCCATCGTGGACAGGAGTAGATGTACTCGGTTTTGTTTTCCCTGCCTTGCGATTAACCAATTCAGCTTTTGTCTCTGTCCGCATCCTACTAACATCATATTTGGTGGACCCACCAACAAAATATCCAGAGACAAAAGGGAATTGCTGATCGATTAGGTTAACCATATTAGAGACACGTTCATCGTCTTCGTCATCCGAATATTGGAAATCAGGATCCACATTCATCTCCCCATTATCATCCAACATTATCGACTGCACTAGCGCCTGAGACCAAAGAAAACATAAAGATAGTCTATAAGTAGAGCTAACCAGGTTTATGTAAGTGTTGGGGACCAACAAAACAAAAATGTATAATACTAGAAGCTCTCCTAAAGATAGTCTATAATATGGTTAAATACCTTCCCCGCCGAATCAATGTCGCGAGCGTGGCCTGGGCTAATGCTTTTTCTCACTCCTTTCTCACACTCTGATGCATAATCTTCCCCAGATGAACTTCCCTCTTGAACAACTTCTGTAAGCGCAGGAACACATTCGATCATGACGAGTTGAAGGGCAAGTACGAATCCTTTAAGAGCTATGGTGTTTTGCGACAGTGAAACTTCCTTCCTCTCTTTTATGATCGACATCAGCATGTCAAAGGACACCCTCCCCCAGGGATATGCAAAGAACTCATCCAAATTTTCAATCTTTTCGGCGCATCCTTGTGAAATGCGCGGTGTATGTGTCGTCGGAAGTAAAACGGCAGCAAGAAGAGACAGATAAGCATACTTTAACCTAAGTTCCGGGTCAACAACAGTATTCTTCTCCAGCATCCGAACGACTGTGGATACCGGTATGTCTTTTAGGGACCCAAAAAGCTCAATCCAGTATGGTTTCTTCGTAATGAAGTTCTCGGGAGCTTTCTTCTTGCAGCGTTTCGGTAATTTACTACAATTGAGACCCGTCACCAACGCGAACTCTCTGATAGAAAACCTAATTGGTTTACCGGCGAACAAGAACCATGCTTCATGCTTCCTCGCAACCTTAAGTTGTCGCGAAATGATAAACCTCCCAAATCGACCTGAGAAGCTTGGTTTCTCGGCGATTTCAATCAATTTCCCAAAAGGAGAAACCCTAATCTTCTCGACTTCGTCTGGGTGGAGAGCATTCAATATTTGTCTGATGGCGCCCGCCTTGTGATAAGGAGTAACCCTAATACCTGCGGGTTCTTCACCGGCGGCGAAAAATCTTTCCGGCAGAAGACATGGTGGCGTCGGGTTTTCATCACGATCAGCCATAGCGTTATTAACTTCGAAAATCCCCACTAATTTTCCAGAGAGGTTTTTGAGAGAAAAGAATCTCACTGTTTTTTTCAGAGAGGTTTTTTTAGAGAGAAACATTCTCTTTGTTATAATATAATGCGGTTTCAAAATTTGAAATTGTTGCTTACTGAATCTCGAAGAAAACAAGTTATCTGACAGAGAAGATACGAAACAGGCGTATCTAGCTATAAGATTTGTTTTTCACGCTCACAGTTTACGGTCAGGTCAGGAGAGATGATAACTTTTGGAAAGGGTATCAGAGTCAAATTACATACTGAAACAGTTGCCTCCTTTTTCGGTTTTGGTATTCAGCTAAATACGCTAAAGTTCTTTGGTATGGCTCCCAATTTCTCTTGATATTATTACAAGGAAGGTACTTGTATATCACATTTTAAAAATAAAAAGAAAAAGAAAACACTATATATATACTGTATCTGCTTTGTAAGCACATTTTGACCATACCAAAATCACAAATCAACTATTTGTTGAGACTGAGTCTTAGCATGTCTGAGATAAAAACATTTGATCCTTTTAAAAGCTTCTTCAATCGAAGATGCATCAGCAGCAAACGTTATCCTTAGCCAGTTCTTAAGCCCCACCGCAGTCCCTGCTCAGCCGCATTCATAAATATATTGAAAAAATATTACTCTTAATGTAATATCCATAGTCAGAGAGACTGAAGTAATATCCTTACCAGGAAGAAGGATGACTGATTCTTCTCTAGCTAGTTTGAAACAGAAGTCGATATCGTCGCTTATATCTTCTAGTAACGAGAGATTCAACTTAACCTACAGAAAGTAAAATAAGTACATTATTAAAATGTGGACATCATTCACAATTTATATATCTACTAACCATCATTGCCATGGATCCTTCTGGTCGATGAGAGGAATCAATGCAAGGAATCTCGTTGATCCAGTCATAGCAAATATCCGAAGAGTTCTTCAACGAGTTCAGCGTTTTCTTGAAGAATGATTCGTCCGTCTGTTCCAGAATCGTGGGAACTGCAGCCTAATGCAACACAAACAAAAAAGTTTGGTATCTTGAGATCATGAGAAACAATAGAAGTTGATTCTAAATCTATGTTATATATGTATATACCTGGATAAATGTGGCTGGTCCACCAAGAATATCAAAGTATTTCTTGAACCGCTCGATGATCTGACCCAAATGAACAAGTTCAATGAGTAAATGGTTAAATCTCACGCTCTCTATATAATCAGTTTTGAAAGATATTGAAGGGATTACTAACCTTTGGCTCTTTAAACGAGCCAGAAGGGTCAGTGGTCACAAACCAACCGAGACGCCAACCAGGAACTATCCATCTCTTTGATAAAGATCCAAGAGTAAGCACCGGGACGATAGATCCAAACACACCCATTGGCACAAACGGTGTGCTCCCAAAAGCAAGATGACCATAAACTTCATCAGCAATCACAAGAAACCCTAGCTTTTTCGCCGTTTCCGCAACCTTAAACCCAAAAAAAAAAAAAACCAACAAAATTTCTGTATAAACCAAATACAAAGTAAACAAAAACACTGGTTTTGTTTCCTCATGTCAAAGTTTAGAGCTAACCTTCATCAAATGCGAGTAACTATAGACATTACCGCAAGGATTACCAGGGTTTATAACAACCAAAGCAACTGTGTTTTCGTCTGCAAGAGACTCAACAGCATCAAGATCTATCTCCCATTCGTTTTCTGGAAGAAGGTCGAAGTAGCGGACCTCTAGGTTTCTAAACTTAGCACAAAGTTCATAGATTGGGAAACCGGGTCTTGGAAGAAGTATATTGGCCCTGGGACGAGCCAACATTGCCAATGCTACATCGATTGCTTGCGTGCAACCCGATGTGATGAACACATCGTCTTGAGATAGTTTGTATGGAAGATCACGCGATAGGTACTCTGCGATTGCTCTGTTTCATTACACAAAAAAAAAAGTGAGACGTGTTTTGCAAGTTAGGTTTTGTATATTTGGTCCTATTGTTTGCATATTTCGGTTTACTAATCCATTTTTTTTACACTAAACTATGAAAAAATATATTGATTAATTTTACATAAAAGAAAAAAAATGTTTTTTTTTTTAAATTAGCCAACGTTCGAGGATGAAGGTCTCGACTTTACATGCGGTTCAAAATTCCAATCGGTTATTTTTATTAGGTTTACTCGGTTGAGCTAAACCAACCGAGTTTGGCATCCCTAGGCCCTAACAGGACCACGTCTACGTTCTAGCGTGCGTATACCTCTGGAATTTAATACCAAAACTTAAAAGTCTTCTTTTTTTATGACGTCGAATATATAGTTTCTTCTTTTAATAAATAATTTGCTCAGATCTTCAATTATTTTTTGTCAACTGCCAGGTCGGTCTACAATAATTACCAAAGATTTGTTTCCAAAGAAAAATATTAAAATACGTTCAAAAAAGAGAAACATATTAAAATACACCGCAGCGTTATAAAAGATAGACGGTGGTGACTGCAGCGTTAGAACTGTAAAAGGAAAAGAAAACGGAGAAAGACGGAAATAACCTTCGAGTTTGAGGAAGACCAACGGTGGGAGCATAACCATGGAACTTGTTGGAGAGAAGAGAATCTGAAACAGCTTGAAGTGAAACTTGTGTTGTCCGGAAACACGAGTATAGTGTCGGGTCTCCCATTCCAAGTGATATAACTCTCTTAGCGCATCTTCCATCTTTATCTTCCAGCTCTGAGATGCTTTCCATCAGCAAACTCAGAATCCCTTTTATCGTTATTGTCGATCCTCCATTCTCCATCTTTCTTCTTCTTCTTCAAGAAGTTTAATAATATATTTGAGTGATTCTTGAATCTTATAGACTACTCTATTCGGCTGAGTTGGTTTAAGTATGTCGGTCCAACTCGCAAAGAAGGGGGATTTTGGTTTGATATGTGTTTTACATTGAGATGTGCCAGATTGGAGAAGGACACAAACCTACATAAGAAGTGGTGTTTAACTTTCCAACCTTTTATAATATAATTGTTTTTACAGCCACTCGTTTGTACCCATGATATGTAGGGGATGGTTGAGATAAAGTATATAACCCGACGTATTTTTGTTTGTTGAAATAACCAAAAATATTGGTTTCCATAATTCGAAGAATTTCAAGAATTTTCTAGAGTACCTACCTCCTTTCTGAACCATTGTTTCAAAAACCAACCAATAATCAAACAAAAAAATATGGATCATGGTTTTATCAGGTTCAATTTTCTTTTGGTCAACAAGGCTTTTTATTTAATAAGCCCAAAGGGTAGATTACAAGAGAAATCAAATTGTCTAATCCACATTACAGACTCGAATTTACAACAAAGCCGTATATCTTCTCTATTAAAAGAGAAGTACTAAATTTATCTACTATTTAGAAGTCATATTGAACCATGTCATTAGTTAGTTAATATGACATATTTGATTATTACTTAACAAATCAAATATATATTATTTTCAAAATATCTTAATAATTAATATAGGATATTAATAATAAATGAATTCAAATATAACAAAATCTAGCAATTGTTTGACTCATGAAGCTTCTCGTAGACACCAGAGCTTTGGCGTTCCTCGAAGTCACCTTTCGGCTATGACCAATGCACCAATAGCTGAATAGGCGTAACAAAGCTACCTGAAAAAAGGCAAGGTGCACATTGGGATTGAAATCGACGAATTGTGTTGTTTGGGATTCAAAAGTAAAAGAAATCATTTTATCTACTAATAGTGGAATGCGCAGAGCAGCTTAGCCGCTCCATCATGCCTTACCTTAGTACACGCTACGCGCAACGCGGCAGGCACTCACTCACTACAATACATGCAGGAACAGCAATCAGTTTCTGTAGCTGGTAACTCATTCACCTCTTCTTTCAGTCGAGTCACTTCGTGCCTCTCTAACTTCTTCGAGCTATCTATCTCAAATTCATTTACTTTACTTACGAAGATCCGTTCAATTGGCTAGAATCCGTTACTTGAACGAAACTAGATCGATGTTACCCACTAAGTAAAAGGCCTGTTCAGGAAGAGAATCAAATTCTCCGGAAAGGATCAACTGAAACTGCTTAGCTTTCAATTCGCCTCTGACCATCAAATGAAATGTGAATAACCCGTCCTCTTCTCTTTGAAACAAGGGACGCTTATGGTTCTTGCTTGGATAAAAAAGAATCGAATTCAAAATATTCTGCGGGATCAAAAGGGCTCACTGCTATATGATATAAATCTTTCTGAATGAGAGTTCATGAGTTTTTCCACATGAAATTTCTAAGATTTTTTTGGAAAATGCCCTACCTTTGAATGCGGTTTGAACTATTTGATTTGACTGGAGTGGACACCAAATGCCTTCGCACCTCCATCCTTTGGGGTTGCTTTTTCCAATAAACGCTTCTTCAGCGAAGCTGGAGGAACCTAGCTTCTTCTTTAAATAGTTTTTATATAAATAAGTATTTTTTATTTTGTTATTGAATATAATTATAAAGAGTATTTACACCCTCAATACACACAAAACCTCAAAATTAGAGATATACACTATTTCCTTCTATCTCTCTCCTCCTCACATACTATTTTCCCCCCAATTCTCAAGTATCTTTCTCTTTTATGGTATTGAGCCAATTCACCCAATTACAAATTAACTTTAATTAAAAATAAAATATAAATCATGTATTTAAAAATTTTAGTTATATATTTATAAAATAAAAATATATCCGCACGGATGTACGGATCAACTCTAGTGTAATACTGTTAAAATTCATCAACATTATTATACAATTTTTATTTTTTATTTTATAATACAGTTAAACTTGTATTACTAACTAATACAAATTTTATTGATAAATATATTATTTATCTTTGTGCTTTTTATAATTAATAGTTTAGAATTTTTATATAATAGTCTATATAAAAACTAAATAAAATTAGAATATTACTAAACCAAAAGTGTAAATAAATTTTATAAAAATAAAATTACAAAAAAATAACAAAACTAATATCTATGATCAATAATTATTTATCAATTACAAATAATAGACATTAAAATTATAAAAATTGAAAACATTTAAGTACTGTATAGTATTATTTTTAGTATTATCTTTGATATTATAGTATGACAAAAGAAATTTGATTTAAAAATTGCTAAGGTGATAAATACTAAATCTGATGTCATGGTTGAGATGACTCATTCGAAACTTCTTTTCGATCATCGTTGGGCGTCGGATCCATCAAATTGGTTGGACAGATAAGATTTAGAAACTAGACATGTTGTGGTCATTGGTCACCAACTAGCGATGTCTTAAAGCCTAACCATACCTTAATAAAAAGTACTTCTGACCGTTGGTAATAATTCAAATAAAAAACCTTGAACAGAAATGGACCTCGCCATCTTTATGGTAGATAAGATCTGATACGATTATTTGATTTTAAAATGATTTGGACGAACGGAACTGATTAGATGGACACGTATAATAAGACAAAGCATGTGAAGATAAAACCAAAACATATTGTGAAGATGAGAGTACTTTCACCACACGTCTTCTTACGACTCTTTACGTGTCTCACTTTTGGAACGTAAACTTCCACTTGTCCTCTTCCTCTCCTAATTTCATGTGAAAGCAGAAATATTTTCGCCATTCTTATTCGTCTCCCACGATCTTTGTCCGTATGGGGAGACCACAACTCATCGAATCAGTGTAGCCTAATCAGTGTTCTAATCTACATTATTTTTTGAATGTATAAAATTATATTCATCGAAAATTCAGTTTGACATCAAAAACATCAGTAGTTAGGTTAGCAAAGATTTACACAGGATCCTTTGTTCTTGTGCTGAATCAGAGCCTACGAAACCGTATATTTTTCTTGTCTCCCAAACATATACTAGTACGTCCAGACGGTTACTTTTTATGGATACTTTTTAGAGTTCCTACTTTTTAAGCGTTGTAGATATCGAATTTGGATCTCCATGTCGCTTAAGATTTATTTCCTTCCATATAGCATGAATCGCAGTTTAAAACGCTTACCTCACTAATTAACAATGCTGATTTCCCCAACCATCGTCCACAATTTTTATATATCCTTATTCATTAGTATTTGATCAAACTCCATATTCAAAAATAAGATTTATTCACAAATAATGAACGAATATGATTGAAGAAAACAATGGGTTGAAAACAGAGCAAAATTACTCTTGACTAGGCATGGGCATTCGGATATTCGGTTCGGTTCCGGATAAGAACCATTCGGTTCCAGTTACATCGGATAAATCATTCTTATACCCAATAGATACTTATGAGATTTCGGTTCGGTTCCAGTTCGGTTTCGGTTCGGTTTCGGTTCGGTTCCGGGTACCCATTAAATATATAAATCAAATATATACAGATTATATTATTTAATATGGTAATTTAAATGGTCTAGTGTTTACACACTTACATATAAGTCAATCCAACAAGAGTTCGAATCAATAAAGTGTTAATTTTATAAATATTTATCATATTTTAATATAGAAATACCATATGTATTTTTAATATAACAGAATAAATAAAACATAACGTGGTCTGGTGGTAAAAATGTACTTACCCTTTGTATATAATATGGGTTCAAGTGGGCATGATGTCATTTTATCTTATTTTAAAAAAAATTAACTTATTTTTTCGGATATTCGGGTACCCATTCGGTTCTCGGTTCGGTTCCGGTTCCGGTTCGGTTTTTCGGGTATATAAATATAGGAACCATTCGGATATTTAAGAATTTCGGTCCGGTTTCAGTTTCGGGTATTTCGGTTTGATTCCGGTTCGGTTTTTCGGTTCCGATTTTTTTGCCCAGGCCTACTCTTGACAAATAAAATATAGCGATTCAGCTTTAACGGTTCGATATCAGTTATGATCGCACTTTAAACCACGTTTTAAAGAGGCCTTTGAGTTTATATACTTTGATACCAGAGCGAGACAATCCTATTGCGGATTATCTTTTCGACTATGCAAGTTAAATGGGAGTAATGGGAATACGTAATTTCTACATAGTAATTGTGGTTTGAAACGCACACATACAAATCAAAATATAGTCGATCATGCAAAGATTAAAATTCTCGAGATAGGATAAAGTATCGTATCATACCAGCCCGGCGTTACATTTGATCCTAGAAGTGTACAACAGAACTAGAACACTTCTATAACTAACTGGATACTAAATGTCTAAAACCAGCCTTTGGCCCAATTAAAATATAATAGGCCTGATGCTAGGGATAAGGTGACCTTTCTAGAGGCCATTATTAATGAGATCTTTTGCCATTTTACCCTCCAAAAATGTTTGAGTTCCCAAATATCAAACCTTTTTGAACTATACATTAAGGCTTGACAGGTTAAAATGCAACGGTTGCGGGTACAATTGCAGATGTGGATGGCAACGGTTTTAAGCGATTTGTTGACTGATATATCAGTTAAAAATTTGGTGCATTTCCCAGATATTTATAACTAATTGATTATGAGATATTATAACAGTTTAATAATAATTAACCAATATTAACACATTATAACATGATAAAAGTATCAAAACATACTATTACTATAAAAAAAGATAATAATTATTGATATAACTAATAAAAATATTATATTTTTAATTCAGATGAAAGTTATAATTTTAATAAAATAAATTATGAATATTTATATTAGAACTTTCAAATGAAGATTTTTTTCATTTATATGTATATGTATTTATATATGTATATATATATTAATTTTAAGAATTATAGTGAATATTTTCCATTTAAAGTTGTATAAATTATAATATTGTTAGTGAAGTTAAATTAGAATATATATAAATATATTTTTATTTCAATATTTCAATTTCAAAGTTTAAAATTGAACATATTTTTAGAAAATATTTTTATATTTATTTATCCACTTGCAATTCCTCACAACCACAAATGCCAACGAAAACTAGCTTCTGATTTTAAGAGATTTAAAGTAGTTTTAAGCGATTTAAAGTGTTTTATAATTGTTACAAAACGACAAAAACCGCTATCAACCTCAAAAATATGTTTATGGGTGGTAGCAGAAAAACCAAACATACCCTAAACCATTTCGCTAAGCCTCTCCACAATAGAGGATCGATCCGGTGAATCTAAGT